TAAAAATAAAATATGCCAGATTCAAAGTCAAAATTGTTGATCTTCACCTAAACTTCACCTGAAAGAAAGGACCACTTCACTCACCACTCACCTTCCAGTCTTAGGGCATGTTCAATATAGCTAACAATGCATTTTTGTCTTATAAATAATGAGCAACCTTCAATATGGCACCTAAACTCTCTAAGCCTCTATTAGTTTGCTATGGCTGACAAAACAAAGTACCACAGATTGGGTGGGTTAAACAACATAAATTAATTTTCTCACCGTTTTGGAGTCTAGAAGTTCAAGATCAACATGTCAGCAGATTTGATTTCTCCTGGGACCTCTCTCCTTGGCCTGTAGATGGTTCCCTTCTTGCTATGTCCCCACAGTGTCTCCCTGGTACCTTTTCCTCCCTTAAGGACACCAGTCAGACTAGATGAGGGCAGACCATAATGTCTTCATTTTAACTTAATGGCTTCTTTAAAGATCTTATCTCCAGATATAGTCACATTCTGAGGCTGAGGCTTCAGTATATAATTGGTGTGGGGCGAGGGATATAATGCAATCCATAACAGCCCCTGTAAAATTGGGCATCCTGAAGATTTATGTAAGATGCAATCAAGAACATTAATTAGAAAATGCTTTATAAATTATGTCATCATACAAATATTGTATCATTGATATCATCACCTTTGTCACTATAATTATCTCTATGATATGTTGTCAGTCTCTTGGGAAGTATAAATTTTCCACCTTTTAAAGAATTGTTGCATAGCAGTTAAGAGAACATGCTCTGTTGTTGGCCGTGTGGCTTGGTTGGTTGGAGCATTGTCCCATGCACCAAAAGGTTGTGGGTTCAATCACAGTCAGGGCATGTACAGGAGACAACCAATTGATGTTTCTCTCTCTCTATCTCTAAAATCAATAAAAACATATCCTCTAGTGTGAATTTTTAAAAAAGAGAGAAAACATGCCCCAGAATTAAGATGTCTAGATTCAAATCTTGGCTAGCTGTGACCTTCAAAGTTTATTTTAACCTCTCTCAGCTCAGTTTTCCTATCTATAAACTAGTGATGTAAAAACAGTACCTACCTTTGAGGGTTACTGAAACTATTAAAGGAGGGAATGCATTAAAATGACTAGCTAATAGCACATGCTCAATAAGTGCTGGTTGTTAGTAGCAGCATTTAGAGCTCGTTGCTGCTGCCTCTTTCTCAGCCAGCAGAGGTCCCCATCACAGTCACACTGAGGCTGGCTTCCCCATGACAGTCTATACTGCAGCTGGCAAGCACATCCCCTGTCGTCAGAGAAAGCTGTGAAAGAATTAACACTCTGTCTGAAGGAAGAAGAAATCAAAACAAGAGAACAGGGAATAGTTAAGGTTCCATGGTAAATGTTATGTGAACAGGTGACTGACCATGAGTTAAGACTGCCTAAGTTCTAGTGCTGCTTCAGAAACAGACTTTCATCAGTATCATCCTTAGTTGCATCTCACTTTAGCCAGTTCCAAAGTTGAGTTAATAAACATTACTCACATCTACCCCCAGAAGAGCAGTAAGAATGAATTGGCAAATATTTCTGTTAAGTTCTATGAAAAAAAAAGTGCTGCTAAATGAACATTTAACATTTCTCACAGTATTAAGCTTATTTCATCTCTAGCACATTATATTCCACGCCTCGGTTTTTCTTCCACTGTAATATATTTTCTTTAACCTCCTTTTCCCACACAGGCTTACACCTCCAAGTTCAATTATTCTGTCAGTTGTGTTTTAAATTGTACTGATTTCTGTTAACCACTTGTGGTACGAATTTGTTGATCTGTTCTTTCTGCTGAACGAATCATCTTCACACCCACCAAAAGCTGGAACGGCAATTAAACTAAAGAAGATGAAGACATTAAAGCATAGAAGGAAAGACAGTGGGAAAGTGGGATTAAGAAGAGCCCTGAGGGGAAAACACACATGTGCTGAAAAGCATAGCACGGAGCAGATAGGGGCATAGAAGGAAGAGTAGAGCAAGGTAGAAAAAGGATCCTTCATCTACCTACTACCCCTCTTTCAGCACCAAGGACAGAGGCTCTAAGGGCTGCCCCAAGCAACAGTCAGTTTAGGGTCCCTCCCAAATCTTCCACAGAAAACGGATGCACTCAAAAGCAGCTATGACACATGCAGTAAGGTCTATTGGGGAAGCTGGAAAAGCAGCACGCAAGTGATGTCACCTTAGAGGCAAAATGGGTGATTTTCTTTCTGTTCATGTCCACAGTCTCTGTGTCTTGGGAAAGGCAAAGTTTGCTTTGCTTGGGCATGTCTGCTGTCAGTAAATGGCTACAGGAGCTGAGGTGCCTAAACTTCACAGTCGTCAGAAATCAAAAGAAATCTTCAGGGTAAGTAGTTTTTCTTTTTGTTCCTACTTTAATACGCAGTGTTTTTCTGGAAGGTTATTTAATCAGTTTGGGGTTCTGTGGTTCTCTAAGAATAGGCATTGAAACTCTGTACTCTCTCTTAAAAATCTAAAATCCTGAGGAAACTGATTGTATTTTTTTCTCATTTGGGGGGCAGTAGAAATCTGTCCTCTTCCCCCCCCGCCAGAAAAAAATTAGATCCTCATGGGTTCTAGAAGCTAAACCAAGGCAGAATTAAAAGATGGAAAATAAAAAAATAAAAAAATCTGTTACTATTCCTGGGGTTTGTATGAAAGTTGATTGTATTCCTCTTAATAGTGTTACTTAATTATAAGGGTCTGTTATTTTCAACTCCCCCAATTCAGCACCCTGGTAATCCAGGACTGAGGGTCTGGAGAGGCACTGTTTTCAATGGTCTATTTAAAGCACGGCTCTTTCCAAGTCAGAATTCAATTATTCCCAACAGAGATATGCAGTACTTGAGATGATGATTGTGTATGTTTTCTGTAATGACGGCATATAATTTTGAGGGTATTGTTGCTGTTTAATTGTGGGACTTTCATTACTTACTGTAGCTTATTGGGTCAATGGAAGTTGTTGCAATTAGGCATTTGTTCCAGTTTAATCAAACACCATTAAAATGTATGCACAAATAATAGTGCTGCAATAGCAAAGTGGAACTTGTATTTTAAATGTATTCTGCATACCAGTTTGTACTTTATAGGTGAAGTTCTTTGTTTACTAATAGTAAAAGATCAGTAGGATGTCCATCCCTGGATAAAAGTAAAGAATTGCTGCTTGACATAGCATTGGTTGGATCTCTTGTAGCCAAGGAGAAGCAGATACAATATGAGAGTCTTACTCAGACACTTGTTTACTTATAGCTGAACATTTTCAAGGGTCTGCATGGTTAACAGTGAGTGGGAATGTGGAGCAGAGAAAATACTGACAGTATCCAAATGAATATCTGATATTAAAGCATCTATACAGAAGGCTGCTATGATGAAATATGAATTAGAGCAAATACTGAACAGATTTTACTCAATATTAAATTCAATTTCTAATGCATTGAAGTTTGTCATCAATTAATATTTGCTCATTGATTGACTGATACATTGATTTCCCGATTTTATCTCTAATTAGAATGATAGGGTGCTCAGTCCTTAGTGGTTGTGATGAAAAGTGAGGATGCTCTTTGCTTTCCTGAGCAGGTTTAATTAGGGGGAAAGCATATTACCTTAGCTCTGAGATCTCAGTAACCAGCTATGGTTTTTCTCTGTACATTTGCCAATAATGTAAATGTGCTCACATATGTAAATATGCTATGTATTTCAATACACTTGTGAATATTCATTAGGAAAATAAACTAGGCTGTAATTTTCAAGAATAAAATGCCATACAAATGCTAAAGACTACATTTAGTAATAATGACAATGTAACTCCCACTGTTGCTATGTGCAGTGTGCACCTGCATTGACTTCACTGAGCTGGGTCAGGTGATGTGCACAAGAGACTCTTAAAGGGGGAGGTTTTAAAATTAGTCCCCACTTCATTGTCTCTCTCACCCCAACAGTGGGTAGTGAAGAACATAAACTCTGGAAGCAGACAGCTCTTAGGTTGAATCAGCTCCATCATTTACTGATGTACAACTGCAGGAAGACACTTAACCTTTCTGTTACTTTCTCCATCTATAAAAATGGGGATAGCAATAACACCTACTTCCTTTATCGGGTTGTTGTGAGGTTTAAATATGATAATGCTTATAAATATTAGCTATAATTATTAACTTTTAAGGCAATATGGCAAGTCCACATTGAAGCCCAGAACCAAAAATATCTCTGGAGACTAGAGGTCAGAATGTAACTGAGACCCTAGCTGGTAGCTCAGTTTGTTGGAGCATCACCCAGATGCAGCAAGGTTGAGGGTTTGATCCCTGGTCACGGCACATACAAAAATCAACCAATGAATGCATAAGTGGGTAGAACAACAAATTGATTCTCTCTCTCTCTCTCTCTCTCTCTCTCTCTCTCTCTCTCTCATAAAACTAATAAATTAAAATTTTTAAGAATGTAACTGAGTAAAAGATTAGAGGCAGCAAAGAGATCCATGATACAAGTGATTTGGCCATGGAACCTGCCATCTAGGTGTTTTGTTCCAGGTTTAGGAAAACCATTTCTACCTGTAAATGACTGCCACATCAATTTCACTTCCAGCATAGACATTAAATAAGTCATGAGTTTTAGATTTAAGGAAACCAGAGATCAAAGCTGTGCTCAACGTGGGCCTCCACACATTGTGTAATCTTGAAAAAGTTACTGAACCTCTATCTCTCAGTGTTTTAACCTATAAAAGGAAGATATCAATATCTATCTTCAGGTGGCTATATGCATTAAAATGAGATAATATGTGGAAAGTACTAATGTTTGGCACACAGTAGCAGCCGTAAGTGGCAGCGACTATTGTCTTCAGGAGGAGGTTGAGAACTAAAGGTGTTTGGTTTGGGTTTTTTAACTCAATAGCCTTAAGGAAAGAAAAAATATTATAATCCTGAACATCTTAATAAGTATCTTCCTAACAAATTCAACAGGAGCCTGGTATGGAACCAGGTGCCAAAGAGGCACCCCACAAGTGTCTCAGGCAGACTGTAGCTCAGAACTGAGGTATTGAATATCAGCAAAGCAGGACATATGGCAGAGCTGATGGGGGCGTGACCACTCTCTGTCCCTCTGCTTTTTAAAGATTATGCCCTCACTCTAAAAGATGCTAAAATAAACTATAAAGACCAAGATTAGTCAATACTTTGTAAGAAATTCAAAGGCTTATTAAAATTTGTAAGTGGTGTTATATATAATGAATCCAAAAGAGTAAAACCAACAGTAATCTTCTAGTCCTTGCCTTCTCCACTTTCTCACCTCCCATCCACTCTTCACTGCTCACACTCTTTGCTGAGGTCATCAGTAATCTCCTAATTTCCAAGTCCATTAGATACTATGCAATTGTACTTTATTTGATGACCCCTTTACTTAGTCCCACTTTTACTTTAACAATAATAGCTGCAATATTTCAAATGCTATGTGCCAGACATTATGCTAGAGCAGCCGTGGGCAAACTACGGCCCATGGGCCGGATCCGGCCTGTTTGAAATGAATAAAACTATTTTTAAAAAAAAGACCGTACCCTTTTATGTAATGATGTTTACTTTGAATTTATATTAGTTCACACAAACACTCCATCCATGCTTTTGTTCTGGCCCTCTGGTCCAGTTTAAGAACCCATTGTGGCCCTCGAGTCAAAAAGTTTGCCCAACCCTGTGCTAGAGCCATGATTCTCAATGGGGAGAGCAATTTTACCCCAGAAGGGACAATTGAGAATGTCTGGAGACATTTTTGGTTGTCACAATTTAAGAGAAGGGAAGTGCTCCTGTCATCCAGTGGGTAGATGTCAGGAAAGCTGCCAATCATTCTAGGACAGATGCTCAAGCCAATCCTTCTCAACAAACTCAATAGTTACAAGCCTTTGCATCTATCATTTTATTTGATTATCATAATAACCCTGTGGAGTGGATATGATTATTCTCATATCGCTGATGAGGAAACCAGGCTATCATTAGGAATTACTTAGAGATTGATTATTAAGTTAATGAATTCTCTAGGCTCTTTGCTTCTCCTACCTGAGACCAGTTTACTATCTGTTAGCATATCTATCAGAGGGAGAAAGAAAGGAGAAAGCCCAACCAAGCTCTGTGTTATATAAGCTATGCTGGTTAAAAAAAATTCTAAGGACTGAGGAAGTTGAAACAATTAGCTGAGAAATGGGGAGTAATCTAGCATCTCACTCATTTTCTGCTTTCATCTCCCACACCCGCAACTCATCAGGAGCTGCTGGACAACCTGCTGCTATAAAGAATCAAAGACCGGAGACCGTACAATGCAAAATAAATAAATAAATCCGAAATCTTTGCAGTTGTGGGTCCAACATCAGGCTCAGAATTGATTTTCAGAGTTGAAGGTTTTTCTTCGCATAATTAGTCATTGACATTCAGCTGTACTATTTTTAATTAGCTGTCAAACCTCGGCGGAGTAAAATGTCCAGCAAGGTGGTAACAAATAGCCCCAGGTTTCCTCGTCCCTCTTACCTGACAAGTGAGACGAGGCAAAGACATTAGCCAACCACAGACCCCAGGAAAGAGTGATTTCTGGTCACTGCTTTCCAAGGTGGCCCCACTGCAGACGGAAAGACTTTCTGGGCCTTAGCCTGCCTCAAAGGTGAAAATATCCTTAACAATCAGAAAGCATTGTATTTTTCCAAAAGCTCTTGGCAGCAGCAGTGCTATCTCCAGGATAACAGCTGCCCTTCTCCAAATAATGAGAAAATTATAATTATTATCAAAAATTATTATTATGCTTTAAAATATATCAAGTGCAAACAGTGTGCCAAAATAAAGAACAATTACTTTGAACAAGTCTCTGAATTTGATCCGAGTCGGCCTCCCCTTATAATCATTTATTCATTTTAACACTTACACATTCCAGACTGAAATATGAGGTAGGAAATGACAGCCATGATTAGGCCAATCTCCTAATCAAAGCAGAGCTGCGGATATCAGGAGTGGTATCCACCAGCCCCTACCTCTCTAGGGTCTGGAAAAGAAGTTCCCATGGAGGCCCATATGCTCCATGTCTAATATTTTAGCCATAACCAACAAACCATTGAATAAAATGTTTCATCCTTCTGCCTTGACAAATATGGTTCCCTAATCTGAAAGAACAAGTTTGAATTTAACATTCCTGGGCCCTTAAGAGTTCCATACAAAATGTTCGAGGGCAAGAAAAGCTGTCCCCTTCACCCATCCTGTCCCAGGGACTCTGTCCTCCTCTCTCCCCACCTCAGGCTACACCCAAACAATTCATCTGAGCTCCCAAAGAGCTACCACATGAACCCAGGACCCCACATATACCTGGCACCATCTACGCTCAGGGCGACAGATCCAGAAAATACCGGTGCTGGCCTAGAAACAGTCTCTAAGCAGCTTGGGCTGAGAATTCTGCGATCTTAGTATGCAGAATATTCTAAAAGGGGAGTGTGGAACCGGCTGGTGTGGCTCCATGGTTGAGCATCAACCTATGAACCAGGAGGTCATGATTTGATTCCTGGTCCAGGTTGCAGGCTCGATTCCCAGTGTGGGGCATGCAAGAGGCAGTTGATCAATGATTCTCTCTCATCACTGATATTTCTATCTCTCTCTCTCCCTTTTCCTTCCTCTATGAAATAAAAAATATATATATTTAAAAAATAAAAGGGGAGTGTGGGCTCTTGATGGACCTGCTCCTTGGTGCTCTGGGAGGGTGTGGTCTCATTGGGGGGAGGATGTGACCAGATGGAGTCCAGAGTAGGAGCCTCTAAAGCACAAAGCCTGGGGCCAGAGCCCCTCTTGCCCAGGTCTCAGGTCCGTGCTATAGGCTGCAGTCTTCCCCCAGCACGTGGTTGTAATGCTCTGCTACTCTTGGCACACAGGCATTCCCATAGTTTTCTTCAGGACATGGTGACTCTTGATCCCCACAGAGACACAAACTTGGCTCTACTTGCCCTGGGGGCCCCAACAAGCTGATGTCAAGAGGGCAGCTGATGGGCTCTGATGCCTTTCCCACTCTAAGTCCAAAGTCCCCACAGTTTGAGGACTGGCTTTTCCCAGTGGGATAGTAACATGAAAGTTGTTATGGCTTTCAGATGCCAAGGACAGCATTGGGAGAATTAAAAGGCCTGTGTGCTAGTTCTACCACTAATAAACTGTGTCACTTAAGACATGTCATTCATCTCTGTGGGTCTCAATTTCCCTGTTTGAATAATGAGAGCATTGGACTAGGTCAGAGGGTGAATGGGGGTGGTGCATGAGTCACTGGCCCACGGATGTGGGATTCGTGGTGGATTAGGGCAGTGGGGGGAGGGGGGACTTCATAGGGCTTAAACACTCCTCTAATTGGAAACCAATCTTTAAAATTAGGTTTCAAATGAAATTCCACACATGGAGCCTCTAGACTCCACTACTCTTGAGGTTTTCTCTCCCAGCCCTCCTAAGCCCTATGTGAGATACCAGAGAGAGACTGGGAGATTGAAGGAAGTTGAGGGAGACAGAGGGAGGCAGAGGAAATGGCAAATGGGAGCAATAGAGGATGGGAGGGAGGAAACAAGGACAGGGGGGTGGGAAGCTAAGAGAAACAGGCCAGGAAAAGAAAAAGAGCTAACACCTATACCGCTTTCTACATGTCAGATTTGGTTTTCAATGTCTTACATATAAAACAGCTCCTTTAATCCTCACAAAAACCCCACGGGATGGGTCCCATCATGTCCCCCACTTTAGAGGAGGACCATGAAGCTCAGAGAGGTAAAGTAACAGAGTCAGGAAGTGGTAAGGCTGGGATTCTAATTCCGCACCAGCTCCCCATCTTACTCAGCCCTGCACAACCTCTCAACCTCATGCCCTTCCAAATGCCCCTGCCTCATTTGCTTCAGCCACACTGGCCTCCCTGCTGTCCCTCCCCTATGCCAACATCTTGTCTTTTTACCTGCTGCTCCTTCTGCTTGGACGACTCTTCCCCCAGAACTCTGCACAGTCAGCTTCCTTGGGTATCCAGGTCTTGACTCAATTGTCGCCTCCTCTGTGAGGGCTTGATTACACTGATTAGAAATTGCCCTCAGATACCCTACTCACACATACTCCTCTCCCTCTCCTTACCCCTTCCCTGATTTACTGTTCTCCAAAATACGCACTACATCTTTTATTTATCCTGTTTATTAGTCTTTTCCTCCTGAATGGAAGCTTCAAGATGGCAGGAATTTTTTTTTAATCCTAACCTGAGGATATGTTTTTATTGATTTGTTTGTTTTTATTGATTTTTAGAGAGAGAGGAAGAGAGGGAGTGAAAGATAGAAAGAGAGACATGTGAGGGAGAAACATCAATCAGTTGCCTTCTATACACGCCCCCACTGGGGGATCAAACCTACAATCTAGATATGTGCCACAACATTTTGGTGTATAAGACAACACTTCCAACAAGCTGAGCCACCCAGCCAGGACAAGAGGGCAGGTATCTTATTTTGCTCATTTCTGTATTTCCAGTGCTTAGAACAGTGCTTGTCATATAGAAAGTGCTCAATAAATATTTGTTGAAACAATAATCAGATTATGTATGCAAGCAGCCCAGCTCCAAAAAGTCTGATTTTACCAACATTGTTTTCTGCCTCCTCCCAGGATACCATTGGGGTCGCTGCTCTCCCTCTGGGCTATGGCGCCACTGAGTCAGCTGAGTGGTTACATCAACTCCACCTGTGGGACAGACAACTTCACGGGGGCCAACCAGACTCGCCCGCATGCCTACTATGCCCTGTCCTACTGTTCGCTCATCCTTGCCATTGTCTTTGGCAATGGTCTGGTGTGTGTGGCTGTGCTGAGGGAACGGGCCCTGCAGACCACCACCAACTACCTGGTAGTGAGCCTGGCTGTGGCAGACTTGCTGGTGGCCACCTTGGTGATGCCCTGGGTGGTGTACCTGGAGGTGAGTGAGCTCAGGTTCCAGCTGCCCATGTGACTGTGTTTGTCCTTGTCTTCCTTGAGCTCCTGGCCTTCTGGGCTCAAAATGCTCCCTTCTGGGACCTGTGGTCTGGGGAAGGAAGGAGAGCTCCTGACCTCCCTTTCATGAGGGAGCTGAAGATTTTGAGAATAGTCATTATCCAGCATCACTTGCATACGTCAGAACCAGGGAGCTGGGAGTAAGTCTATTCCCAGGTCTCCAGTATCCAGGTAACCAGATTTGAGTGATGGGACTCATCTTTAAAATGCATGAAGTTGACTCTCCAAACCAGGCATGTCTCAAAGACAGGAGGGGTTGGGGAAGATAGTCAAAAGACACCTTCATCAGTACATAGGAGTGAGAGTGTGCAGGAGGGATTCAGGAGAAGGTGGGGGGCAAAAGGAATTATAGAAAAAAATGAATGAATGAGGAGAAGAAGTCTGCAAATAGATCAGACTTCTTTAGATGGTTCAGCTGCCCTCAGACTTAGTTCTTTCTTCCTGGATATCAGCTCTCCACAGACTGCTGCCGAAGGAACAGACCAAACCTTCAAAATTGTGTATATACATATATATTTAAATACTAGAGGCCAGGTGCACAAAATTCATGTGGAGGTGGGGTGGGTCCCTCAGTCCGATCTGCACCCTCTCCAATCCGGGAGTCCTCAGGGGATGTCCTACTGGCCTCCAGTCTGCCCTCCCTCTGCAAGAGGCAACTGGGCTGACCAGGGGAAGGTGCCACCCCCATCACCCCACTGCTGCTGCCACTGCCGTCCGCCACAGGCACCAAGGTGTTTTCATCAACACAGACTCCGGTCCCTTCACCACGAAAAAATGACAACTTTCTTTAGGCATTTTCAAGATGTCTCTTTTATAGGATATGACATTGCTTTCTTTCTTTCTTTTTATCCTCACCTGAGGATATTTTTCCATTGATTTTTAGAGAGTGTGGAAGAGAGAGGGAAACATCAATGTGAGAGGGACACTTTGATTGGTTGCCTCCTGCATGAGCCCTGACCTGAACCCCGGCCAGGGAGGAGCCTGCAACCGAGGTATATGCCCTTGACCAGAATCAAACCCGGACCCTGCGGTTGGCAGGCCAAGGCCCTATCCACTGAGCCAAACCAGCTAGGGCAGGATATGACATTTCTTAGCCCCTCCAGCAGCGGACCTTCGTTTTTTTCTCCCATGAGTGTGGTGGAAAAACCCTAGATCACCTTCTTGGATTCTTATTACACAAGTTACCAAGAACACTAAGAGTGGCGTACCAGGAGCTTAGCCAATGAGTGGTAAGAAAAGGTGTTTCCTCTGCAGCTCATGCCCAGAGGTGGGACTGCTGGCGTGCCCTGGCTGGCAGGCCCTGTTCTCAGCAAGAAGGCCTGCTCTTCACCACAGCAGCTTGCAGGCAGACCTTGTTCTCTGTGGGCAGGCCCTGCTCCCTGCTCTCTGTGGGCCTGCACTATCCATGGCTTGCTTCACTGCGCATCACTCCCTTCCCGCCCACCTGTGTGCACAGCCTCCTCCTGAGTGGCCATGACTGTTATGGTGTCCTGGCTAATTTGCATATTATCTCTTTATGTTTTTATTGATTTTAGAGAGAGAGGAAGGGAGAAGGGGAGAGAGAGACATCAATGTGAAAGAGAAACATCCATTGGCTTCCTCCTGCGTGCCCCCTACTGGACATTGAGCCTGCAATCCAGACATGTGCCCTGACTGGGAATCAAACTAGTGCATGGGAGGACGCCTAACCAACTGAGCTACACCAGCCAGGCCTAAATTTATATGAGAGAAGTATTTCTTAAATTTGAAAGTATTTTCATTCAAAAGTGTAAAGTAGAGTCAGGAGGTGATCAAGAGAAAACATCCATTTGCTAACAAAAAAAATCAGGGTGCCTACAACTGTTCAAGAAATAGATATTCTTACCGAGAAAACATGCAATTTACTAAAGAGTTTTCTTAAAGACATCTTAATATACTATTCATATTTCTCCTCTGCACTGTGTATCATTCTAAAGAGGTATCCAATGAAGGATCAAAATGATGCTATGATTAAGAGAAATTAAAATTCATCAAATTAATATCTCAGTTAATATTAATAGTGAAGATGACAGTTAATTAAGTATGACATATCACGGGAGAGCAAAAACCTCCAACATAGACTGCCTAGGCTGGTTTTTGTATTAAAGAATGACTGGGAACTAAAATTAGACTTATGATCTCAACAGGAAGGTATTTAAAAAAAAGAAAGTAACAAAGAAAAGAAAAAGAAGAAAAACAACTAGGATGATTACAAATAGACTTAATGGCTCAAGCAGCAATTTTTAACCATTTTCATCTCATGGTATGCATAGACTAATTACTAAAATTCTGCAGCACACCAAAATTTTTATTGATTTACCAAATTTTTATTGATTTACCAAAAAATAATAATAGTAATAGTAAATACCTACACTTTTTGCTCCAAAGTGACCTTTTTAAAAATCAGGTGCCTACATAAAGATTGCTGGTACCAAGAATTATCAATCAGATGCAACTTTGTTAGGCGACATGACCACTAAGATGCAACTCTATTTTATGACATATATTTATGGTTCGAGACAGGGCATTCACACCAGACGGCTATTGCTCTGTTGGTTGTTGTCATTTTTTTATTTGACAATCTAAGGGAAAAGAGGTCAGTGACCTGAGACATGAATGATTAAATGAATCTTTTCTGCAATGTCTGCATTACATGGTCAATTCCTGCTTCTATCCGTTGCTGCTGTGCCTATTATAACCATGAACTGTTTTTTTAACATTCAATAATAATGAGTTAAAAGCATGTGATATTTCTGTCCAAAAGTGGGCACACTTTAGGTGCTATAACCGAGTGTGGATTAGTAATAATTCAGCACACCACCATCCATCCACCCACCAAAATGTTTCTGTCCATCCCTATACCTTACAAGGATTCTTAAGTCTTTCGGAAAGATGAACGTCAGAAACAAATGCAGGAAGAGGACTTTCAGTCTAATAAGCATTTTAATTGCCCCTGACCAGGGTGTTCGTGTCTGTGACAAGGTCACTCAGGTGTACGCTTTGGCTGTCCATGTGTGATTGCTTCCAGGACTCTGATGAACCATATTAGAAATCTCTGTAGATATTGGTGTAGGGGAGGCATAGTGTGACTTTTCCACACAGATACTACGGCAGCCCCTCTAGCCACACCTGCCAAAAAAGATAATGCCCCCTTCTGCTGAGCGTGAAGGACAACTGAGTCTGCAGAGGGCAGGCGTGAGATCTTGCCAAAGGCTCAGTGAACCCCCTGCAGGTTGGATCTATGTGTTTTCTCCTAAGAAAAGAATTCTGGTGGAGCCCTTGGTCTCCCCTCATGAAAACCAATATGCCCTCTGGTGTAAGCGTTCAGCGATCAAGAGCATGGACCAGCCATAACCGGTTTGGCTCAGTGGATAGAGAGTCGGCCTGCGGACTGAAGGGTCCCAGGTTCAATTCTGGTCAAGGGCATGTACCTTGGTTGCGGGCACATCTCCGGTAGGGAGTGTGCAGGAGGCAGCTGATTGATGTTTCTCTCTCATCGATGTTTCTAACTCTCTATCTCAATCCTTTCCTCTCTGTTAAAAAAAAATCAATAAAATATATTTTTTTTTAAAAAAAAGAGGAGCATGGACCAATACACCTACAATAATAGAAAGAAGATCTGAGGCAGCAGAAACTCTCCACTGAGAAATGGGCTTTAGCGCCTGCATGTGGTCCTTCTCGCTTGCTCCTAGGCTCTCGTCAATGCACCTGAATGTCTCTGCGTCACTCCCTCCAACAGTCCACTCAGGATAGGTGGGGACTGCAAAGGGAAAAAATAGCCATTCACCCTGGCTGGTTTGGCTCCGTGGATAGAGCGTCGGCCTGTGGACTGAAGGGTCCCGGGTTTGATTCTGATCAAGGGCACATGACCAGGTTGTGGGTTCGATCCCTAGTTGGGGCATGCAGGAGGCAGCCAATCAATGATTCTCTCTCATCATTGATGTTTCTATGTCTCTCTCCCTCTCGAGGGAAAAAATAGCCATTCGCCCTGGCTGGTTTGGCTCAGTGGATAGAGCGTCGGCCTGTGGACTGAAGGGTCCCGGGTTTGATTCTGATCAAGGGCACATGACCAGGTTGTGGGTTCGATCCCTAGTTGGGGCATGCAGGAGGCAGCCAATCAATGATTCTCTCTCATCATTGATGTTTCTATGTCTCTCTCCCTCTCCCTTCCTCTCTGAAATCAATAAAAATGTATTTTTTTAAAAAAAATAGCCATTTCCCTAGAGGGGCTCGAAACTTCTCACTAAAGGACTTCACTTAAGTCTAATTGGCCAGAAATGGATCATAAAGCCACTTTTGGCTGAAATGGACAATAGAAAAAAAAGTGAAAATGTGGATTTCATTGAAAAAGATGTGAAGCCCTGGCCGGTTGCTCAATGGTTAGAGCACCGACCCTTGCACCAAAGAGTCTTGGATTGGATTCTCACTTGTGATATTTAATGCACTTATGTAAGAACAGGAAGGCAACCTAAGCAGCCAGGGCAACATCTGGAATATTAAACTCAAAGTGCTTGGGTCACAGGGTGGACAACCTGGGTTGCAGGTTTGATCCCCAGCCCTCTCACATAGATGTTTCTCCTCTCTCTCTCTCTCTCTCTCTCTCTCTCTCTCTCTCTCTCTCTCTCTCTCTCTTCTTAAAATCAATGGGAAAAATATCCTTGGGTGAGGATTAACAAAACAAAAAAGATGTGGAGGCAAGGAATTGCTGTGAGGTAGGCAATGAAATGTCACATATCACATAACATCATGCTTCTGATGGCATTCACTGGGATGAATGTCATTCTGACACAGACTCATGCTATGAGAAAGACTCAGAAATTGGAGTCAGAAGATGTGGGAATTGAGTGTTTAAAACGGAGGTGACAATTATTCTTATCTCACAGGATATGTGTTAGGCTCAACTGTCAT